GAATGGCCTCCTTGTGCACTGTAACAATTCAGTGAGTGTGTGATTGAGCAGAGTTAAAGCTGGGGGAGGTGGGAACTCGGTGTCTCACTGTGCTGCTGCTGCTGCTGGGGTCAGTGAGATCAGAGACTGGGACAGGGAGCCAGAGCTCACATCAAACTCTGTCCGTGTCCGTCACACTGAGACTGGCAGGAGGCTACTCACTGATTTCACTCCATGCTGCAGGAATGTGACCACAGCCTGCAAACGGACACAGCTCCTCCACACGGTGAGTAAAACTTACTGACTTATATCTTGCTGCTTAAAGGGGGCAATGGAACTAGAGAAATACATCCTCAATCAACCATTTCATTCACTGCAGCTCCCCACTAACACCTTCAACAATTCAGCGTTAGTGTTTTAGAAAGTTTCAGTATCGAAAGGGTTAATAACGGAGGATTGAGGTTTACTTACTCAGTCTGAGCTTGGTTCCTTTACCGAACGTAAGCCACAGTGAGAGCTCTGAATGCAGAGGGTGTACATAAACCTCTGCTCTCTGCTTCCCTCCATCATTCTTACCCTCTCCCTGTCTTTCGCAGTCTCCCACTCACTCACATCCTCTAGCTGTCTCTCTGTCTGTGTCTCACTCATTCTCACCCTCGTCCTGACTCTCTCTGTTTCTCACTCATTCATGTCTTTCTTGCTTGCTGTTTCTGTAATTCTGTTTCTCTCTCTCTCTCTCTTTCTCTGGGTTTTACCCTGCTGTGCTCAGGAGATTTGTGAACTTTATTTTTGATATTACATCTTGTAGCTGCCCTTCACATGTGGCCATGAAGTGTAAGAGGGAAACTTGAGGCCTTCAGTGAGCGGTGGACACCACAGGGACTGGAGTGTGTAGTGGGCAGTGACAATCCTGGCATGAGGTCATTTGTTCAGTTTCATTTATATATAACTGTGGGATGTATCAGTGCAGGAGGTGGGACTGTGTGTATTGAGGTTTTTATATGGCTCTGTATCACTGTGCAGAGGGTAGCTCTGATATTGCTGACAGTAATAGTCAGCGACATCCTCATTCTGAACATTGCTGATTGTCAGGGTGAAACTGGTCCCTGATCCACTGCCACTGAATCGCTCAGAGACTCCTGTGAATCGAGTTGTTGCTTCATTGATCAGGAGAGAGGGTTTCTGTCCATCTCGCTGCTGGTACCAGCGAACCCACTTGCTGACAGATTGACTGGCCGTACAGGTGATGGTTGCGGTCTGGCCCAGTCCCACTGACAGCACCGGGGGAGACTGGTTCATGATGATGTCCCCACTGATACCTGAGGGATCAGAAAGAAACACAGTGAAGTCAGAACTGTCACAGAAAGAGCCTGTCAAATGAGAGATTGTTGGAGACACTGAGCATTCCTCTGGTTTCACCATTTTCCTTCAATCACAAGTCAGTGGAATTGGAGTGAAATGGAGAGCACCTAAAGATTCAAGGTGGAAGGAGAGAGATTTGTACCTGCGACGTAGAATGCCAGAGGCCAGATCAGCTGGATGTGTGAAATCATGGTGTGTGCTCCTGTCCCCGTGCCTGGTTCCTGATAAACCCTCCCTTCACTGGGGCCTGCTTTATAAAGCTGCAGCCTGTGAGAGTCTCACTGGCTGTTCCTCAGTATGTAAATGGCATCAGGCAGAGAGAGAGCCACGTTAGCCCCTCACACTTCCTCTTCTCTCTCTCTCTCACTCTGACAGTCATTGACATGAGCAGCATTGAATGAGGCCATTTGCCCATTGTGTCTGTACTGGTCAACAAAGATCTACAACATGAATCCCATTTTCCCGCTCTTGGCCCATAGCCCTCAAGGCTACAGCATCACAAGTGAATATCTAAATCCTGCTTCCGAGAGTGTGTGACATAACCAACCTTTCCGGCAGTGAGTCCCAGACTCCCACCACCCTCTGGGTGAAAATATTTCTCCTCAACTCTCCTCTCAGCCTCTACCTCGACTGGGCCTGGATTCACTCGAGTTGAGAAGGATGAGAGGGGATCTGATGGAAACGTATAAAATTCTAACAGGGCTGGACAGACCCGATGCAGGGAGGAGGTTTCCCCTGGTTGGGGAGTCTAGAACCAGGGGACATAGGGGTAGACCATTTAGGACTGAGATGAGGAAACATTTCTTCACTCAGAAGGTGGTCAGCCTGTGGAATTCTTTCCCACAGAAGGCCGTGGAGGACAAGACATTGAATATATTCAAGAAAAAGAGAGAGAATTTTTTTTTTCCATTTTCACAGCAATAAGGGG